AACGCGCGGACCCCCCCACACACATACATACACACACACGCACACACACACTTTGATGCTACGAAGTTTGGTTTTTGTTTATGCATAAAACCGTATACCCTATGCACCTAAACACAGAATACACAGATGTTACACGCATCGCCTACAACCGTCCAAACAAACCAACTCACAGACCAACACGTAACAAGCAGGCAACTATGCCTCCTTCTACGTTCGGCCTCCGTGAGTCAATTCCTGGGGCCCCCTGCCCCTCCAATCCCTGCCTGCGATCCGGCCAGGGAGCGTCGCTGTATGGGGGTCTGTCTTCTTTTGCCTTACCGCCTGCGCATCTTCCAGGGCCCCATGCGCATCTTCGAGCTGTTCATGAGTGAAGCTTCGGTTCGAGTAGAGTACCCCCAGCAACTCCCGCGCAGCCGCCACCTTAGGGCACTCCTCAATCGCCTGCAGACACCAGCAACTCCGTCGCTGCCCCAACATATCAGCGGCGTCGCAAGCTACTTTTGGGGCCGATCTCTCCCCGACGGCCCCTACAGACGTGTGTGCAGGTTTGGGGACCCAAAGGCTCCTCAGGTGTACTCCACCCCACGGCAGCAGGACGGGACCTGGGTCTGTGTCCAGCTAGAGCCCTGAAAACGAATGTATGTGGACGTAAGAGCTGCAACGAAGCACGGCAGCGGAGTGTTTCTGACCTCAGAGTATTTAACTTTGGCAGCGGCAAAGTCCCCCTTACGGAACGCGGCGTTTCCGGCCTCCTTCAACTTCTCGACCCTTGCCACCGCCTCGGGCGGAGCGGGAGCCGTAGGATCCAAGGTTATAAGGACAGGAGGCGCCTGCTTAGCCCCCTCAGCTGGGCCATCAGTCGAGCCGGTTGGCCCTGTCCGCTCAGCCTCTGCTGCTGCTGGCCGCTGCTGCAGCCCCAACACACGCACGAGCCGCACCTCAGCTATGAACCCTGTCTATCTTTCTCCACGCGTTCCTATTCTGCAGCGTGCTCTCTCTCTGTTTCCTTGTGTCTCTACATCTGTCTTTCTGCCCGTTTGGGTTGCTCGTCGTCTCTCCCTCCGTGAGCATTTATTTGGTTCTGTGCATTTTTGACAGTCTTATCGCTCCCCGGAAGTTGCAACCCACAAGCCATGTGTGGGCTGCAGCGTAACCGCAAGCTCCCAGTGTACGTAAGGATACACATACATAAGTACGAAAGTACATGCGCATAATGTATATATATATATATATATATATATATA